AGAAGAAAAGTGAAAAAGCTAAGGTTTTAAAAGTTAAGACTGCTCGAAATATTGAGAAATCTAAAAAACCTAAGGTTGTAAGTATCGAGACTGTTCATCAAAGGTAACCCACTATATTAACGCAACTTCTAGAAGGTATGCTCTCATGAAATTCGAAGGGTTGTTAAAATTAAATTTTGTTGACGTTTATGGTTTGATAGATTTTCGGTTAAAGAAACTAAAATTTTTTTGACTCTGATCAAATATTTTATTGTTTGTTCTAGAACAAAGAGCTCTAAAGCTCTGTTTTAGAGCTCTAAAAAATAAGATAAGTTAAAATTAGGGTTCGTCACTTATGAGTTAGGTTAGATTGGAATAAACAGAACTTATTAACATTCAAGCAGTTTTCAAAATATTAAAAAATAAAAGATCTTCTATCACTTACTTTTTTTTCTAAATTTAAATTAAATATAAAAATTTTTCAGATTTTATTAATATATTTTAAAATATGCATGTATATATAATAATTTAATTAAATATATTTAATTGTAATTTATTTATACTGTTTAAATACAGATGAAGACACAGAAAAGTCATTGGATAACTCAGGATCGTTCTATGAACCAACCGGATCTCAAAGTGAAACAGAAGATGACGTGGAACCAAAAAGTGAAACCATGAAACCTAGCGGAACAATTGATGGTATTTTGACTGCTTCTGATTATAGAAGTTCAAAATCCTCAAAAAACAATAATTATCTGAAGGAGCATGATAACGAAAGAAGTCTGTCTTTGAATGAATGTAGTGATTCTTCTGTTTCTTCAGTAGATTTTAACTATTCTTTTAATGTGCCCGGAAACTCAGCTTGCGACGATACAAATCTGGTGTCAAAATTATCCAAAGACGGTCGAAATACTAAAAAACATCTCTGTTGCTATTGCAATAAACTTCAAACACAATTTGCTAGACATTTAATTTTAAAACATCCCAATGAAGACAAAGTAATAGAATTTATCCACCTACCACCAAAATCTGAAGAGAGATTGGATGCTATTGCAAAAATTCGAAAAGAAGGTGATTTCAAAATTTTTACGGATGCTTCATTAAACAAAGGAGTAATCATACCTGCCAGACGACCTGCCTCACCTTCAAAAGCTAAAGCCGAATTTTTTGCTACTTGTGCGAACTGTAAAGGTGTATACACCAAGACCAATTTACGTCATCATTTTGCTCAGTGCACAAATAATGAGATTAGTGTCAAAGGCGTATTAAAAAAAGCTCGTATTACAGTTGATCGTATACACGAACGCGCATCAGAAGTTTTACGCCAAAAAGTAATTCCATGTATGAAGGAAGATGCCGTACTCCGATGTATAAGATATGACCTGCTTATTATGTTATATGGGAATGATTTATGCTTAAGACATCGCCAGCCATACATGCATAGACTGATTCGGGCTAACTTACGTCTATGTGGGCGGTTTTTGATCCATGTTAAGGAGTTGGATCCGAAAATATCCGATTTTAGTTCATTGTATGATCCATCTAAATACTACTTTCTTCTTAATGCCATTGATACGTTTGCAGGTGTCAACGAATCCACTGGACATTACCATAAAGCTGGAAAAGCGACTGAAATTGCAAAACATATAAACAAAATTGGCGATATTTACATAGGAGAATGTATTTTTAATAAAGAGCCTGACAAGCAAAAACAAATTTCTGATTTTCTGAGCTTATGTAAAAAAGGATTTAGTACAGTGACAAACAAAACTGCTAATGAGACCCTTGTTGCTCGTCAACGAGAAAAAACCGTGGAAATACCATCAACAGTAGACATCATGCGTTTATGTCAATATCTGGACAAACTCATCAGTACCAACTACGAAAGTTTGAAAAATAAATTTTCTTATTCTGCGTGGAGACAATTAGCTGAAACTGTTTTGACAAGAGTTCAAGTATTCAACCGACGTCGTGCAGGTGAAGCTGAACGTTTGTATATATCTGACTTTAATAGAGTACAAACGATCAAAAAGGACGACGAGGACTTCCAAAATTTGAGTGAGGAAGAAAGAAAAGCGGCAAACGAGTATGTTAGAGTTGAACTGAGAGGAAAACTAAATGGATGTGTTCCTATTCTACTCACACGAAGATGGCAGAATGCTCTGAAACTGATTTTAAATCACCGAAAAAAAGCAGGCGTCAGTTCGAAGAATTTATATGTTTTTGGTATAGATGGAAAAACAGATC